CCCGAATGTTATGCCTTCCCATTGGGTTTGGGAAAGCCTTGAGAAGCTACACAGTCATCGACCAATTTAAGCTAAAACAGTAAAATAAGGTTGAACTTCTTAAATCAGAAGTTACGACTCATTGATTTTGCAAAAGAAAGTTACAGTTACAAAAAAAACATTGGACTAAGCTCAAGCTTTTGGATTAAAAGGCGTCTCTTTATGTATGAAATTTAAAATGAACGGTTGTTTACTGGACTGTTGATCTCTTTAACCCAGAAAAGATGCTCTATTGTCCAGTTGCACCGAGGCATTGTCGACAAGGGGCAGGGGAAGATGTATAGTTGCCACAGCTCAGTCGCAACTATTTGCACTCTGAATGGCATCCACTCGCAATTGTCGTCTTTTCAAGAGCACGCCTTAACCATGCACCATGTAGAAATATGAAAGTGAGAAAAGGGGAAGTAAAAGCATAACTGTGCTTGACTAAGAATGCATCACATAGTCGCAAAATAAGAACCAGTGCGTTGCAATAAATTGAGCATTGTGGCAATCCTCAAAAGACGTCAACATTGCCACCTTAGCACAATTTATGCGCCTGCAAACTTAAACGAATGCGCCTTGCTAATAAAAAATGGTTACTTAAATGAAATGAAGCTTCGAGTTGTGAATGAATAGACGCGAATGCATCTCCTTATGTGACCCAATGTTCACAGGTTCACTATGCGCAACTTTCCACTTACTGTGCCAATTTCAAGACCCAATCCTTTTAGACTGGGGGACTCCGTTTGCTGTCTTTGTCGAGTGGTTTGGAGCTCGCCCAAAATGAAAATCCTAAGGCGCTTGTTACTAAAAATGCGTTTGCACCCTTTCGTTGACTGGATACACTCGCAGATGGAGAATCAACCTTTACAGTCCTCAGAGCTCTTGATTGGCCCCACTACTTTGAAAACCAAGTTGACCTCGGTTGGTGAGTGGCAAGTGATGATCTTAAAATTGCTCGATAAGCTTTTAGAGATCAGTAAAATGTGATGGTAGTGCATCACTGATACGTCTCAGTATCCGTAGATGTGAACAGTGCAATAAGGAAGAACTTACAGCAGCAAATCATCAAACGCTTGATTGCACATTTTACTATCTCGGTACTTAGCATTATTAGGAGAGCCAATTAATAATTACAAACAATTTTAGAAGCTAGACGCATGAATGGCCGTAAAAGGGGATAGAGGGGAGGAAGAGTCACCAATTTTTAGCACGACTCTGAACAAAGTGATGCCTCCAGAGCGAGGATGAAGGACATTAGCGAATGGAGACCTTAAATGCTCTGGAAGTAGTGGTCAAGGTTGGGCATGGACAATTTTACAAAGAGGCGCTGTAGAGGCACTCCCAAACTGTCATTTTACTGAATCGAACAGATCCGATCTTAAGAGTGGCAAAGTGGACTTCACTTCGACTGGCAGGAAACGAGCACGTGAAACCTTTGACCCTGCAAAAGATCAGCAAAGCTCTCTAGCATTCTACAAAATGATGCGCCCAGTTTTCACTCCTTAAAATAAAAGCTTTTTACTGCTTTTCTTGAATCCAAATTTTACTAGCAATAAATTCCCTTTTTAGCTTTTGTGCTCGAATGCGAGTGTTGAGAACCCTCAGATTGATCCAGAGGTTGTTGCCGTTGAATGTATTCAGTATTTTCGCATTCAAAAGAATTTGCCATCCACTCATCTGACACCTTAGTTTTACGGCAAAAGGTGTTTTCGTAAACCAGAGTCGTGCATCTTAAATGCATTAAGCAGACACGGTGTTCCGCTGATTAAGGAGGCTCCATATTTGCTACAGTTAACTGCCATAGCACAAAAAACGCCAAATTTGTTGCCAAAAGTTCTATCGCATAAATCGTGGTGTGGATAAGGGAACCAGTTTGTCTCCCTTATGATGAGTTGCCGTTTTCGTGGACACTTCTATGGCAAATTCAAATTGACTTTATTTCAATCAGCAAAGAGTAGTCCACCTGCAATTCCATTAAAGTGGAAATGGAAACGAATGCGTGTTGAGTAAAAGGACAATCGCGCAAAGAAAGGAAAAGGAGAAACCTCCTGTGGGGTGACCAAATTCTATCCGCATTACGGATTTTGGTCAACAAGTCGGACTCCTGGAGTGGGCGATGGACGTCGCCATGGTGGTTCGCCTGCTTTAGTTGCATGAAATCAGCCACAAGCATACAAGTCGCAGCACTCGGCCTAGCTTTGAAAAGCTTAAGAAGTACAATTTTGCGAAATAGAGAAAATAAGCTACGAGTTAATTTTCCCTCAGAATAGCCATACAACTGGTGCTTTGTTATTGGTGAGAAAAATATGGTCAAAGGAAGTAACGTTGACTGATAGAAGACCTACATTATACTTTCGTTAGGTGAAATGAAAATGATCACTCAAGCACCTCGGTGTACATATCAAAACCGTTGACAAAATAAATTAGCTGCTCAAAATGTGCCTTGTGGGATAGAAGCGGAATTTCAGGTCGAACGCTGTACGGACTTTATTTCAGAACCGAAAGAGCCACCTCATTCTCTGCATTCTGGGCTCTGATATCAACTAAGGCTTCGATAAGCAAACTGAGCGATGCGAAGCCCGGTGAGAAGGCGTTTAATGACAGCGGTGCTGAGGAGGCACCGTTGACTTGGACAACTGGTAACAAAGTGGACGACAAAAGTAAGACTCTCCCCACAACACTAACGAATGGTTTATCTGATTTACTGTAATGCCCAAATTTTTGAAACAGACCGCTGCTGCTTGTGGTGTTGAATTAATTCGCATGATAAAGTGCATTTAGAACTCAACGTAATTGTCCATTGTAATCGTCCTCAACTGTGTTACGACTTCTATCCTGGTGCTCACCGTTTGTATCTGGCGGTCGATTCTCCAAAAATTATTCACAAGAGACGGGTAGGGAATGAAATCTGTGTTTGGCCCTACCGTTTGGGAAGGTATTGCTTCAGAATGTCCATTACTAAGCCTGCGTATAAATGGCCCCGCATCGGAGTTCCATCCATATGGGAATGTGTCTGATCCCATGTTCCCCATTACGCGTTTGTATTAAAGCAGTGCTCCTATTCCTTCGTGAACACAATAGGTAGCCAGCAAAAGTATGTGCCTCTGATTCTTGCTCTCGTACTGAACGTAACTCCAGATTCTGTCGAAGCCACTGATAAAGCCAAACCGACCCTTTAATCGTATGTTAGCCAATAATTGGTGCGGCTGGTTCGAGGGTGCTTACTTGTAGTGTCAGATATTTGTTAGCTGGCACAAGTGTACCAGAGGAGCGTCCAGGATCTAACTTAAATGGGAGAGGGAAAATGTAGTACTGTTTGTGTGACCATCAGTGTGTCTGACAGTGGCTTTTGAATTTGTCTTGCCATTGTATGCTTGAGGTGGTCTTTGGGTTAAGCCAAAGCCCTCTCTCCCCTAACTCCTTGATTACATGGATTCAGCCTTAACGCCATATCTTCTTTTACTTAGTGGGAAGTCTTGGTAATGAGAGTAAGGCTATCAACTTTGGATGCGAATATCGATGCTTAGTAAATTTGGCACTGGTACCCAACAATGGTATCAGCGCAAACAATACGTTTTTCGGGAAATAGGATTTATATGACAAATTGATCAACTCTCTACGCTACCAATGAGTCGAAGCCCAAATCGGATTCATGCTCTTGGTTCTGTAATGATTTGTTTATGTGACCACAGGACGCTTCGCGGTCACCTGAGAATTTTTTTGGTTTCTGCACACTTGGGCTGGTCTTTGGACCATGGTCAGGCCACATTTGCCCTATCGTCTTCGGAATACATGCATTCAACCCCACTTATGCCTTCTTCCACCCTATGGGAAGCCTCTGGACGCTACATTTTTCTCACCATGTTCATTTCCAATCCATAGGGTCACAAATTTTCTAGTCCAGATTGTAATACCTGGTATATTCGATGACCCGATGTCTGACGGCTAGCTTGTTTTTTGTCCTTATACCCGTGGACTTGGGCAAACCAAGGCCTAATTTATTCCTTCTCCTCAGGATACATTTTTCAGGTCAATATAAGACCTACAAAGAAAAGGTCCAGAAAGCAAAGTAAATGGCTCGCTGCAAGAAAATAACCTCTTATATACTACGGAAATCGCCTAAAACAATTGCGTCAGCACAGTAGACAATTTGCGTCTCGAAATCACCATCCGGTGACAAAATCCGCTCTTGTTTTGACAACTGCGCCCTTTCATCATCCACGCTATAATACTGCGTGCAGTACTTTATTTATGCGACCGACCGAAATCTGGCGATTACTTTAAGAATCGTTTGGTCAATCTCAGATCCGATCCCCTCCATAAAATAAATGAATTCAATTAAATTTTACGTCTTATTCTACCGTACTGGAAGCATCGAGACGCTACACTGCGTTTATGTCAGTTTCGACTCAAGAAATCATGTTTCAGCCCAATCCCTCTAGGATAGTGAGTCTCAAGTAAAATAAACAAAAGGTAATGACATTATGGTTGAATTTTTAAGGCTTATTCAATATCGTCAAAACCTAGAAAGTTTTTCGCATTTACTAGGGTGGTTGATGACCTTAGCGCCTCACACGGTTGAGTGTCTATGGTATGTCCATTGAGATAGCTGAAGTTAGTTTGATGATTCAATGGCTATTGTCTTTATTTGTATCGAAAAGTTCTGTCCGGGGCGCATGAGATAGGTTCCTGCCGTGTGACTTTACTTAAGTATTTTGTACAGTCGATTGCGAATCTCCAGACCTTCGGAGTTATTTCCAAGTAGCATTGTGAACTTGGAATTCATTAAAGAATTTCATGGTTACTCAATTTATTTGGGTTATAATTGAGGCGACTAGGCATCTTCTCTTTTACATCAGCAGAATTATACAGCGATTCCTTAATAACCTTGGACATTGGTTCGTTGTTTTATAAATAAAGTGCCTTCCCTTAGTGAATATATTTGTTGAGCATTTGCTTCCTTGGTTCTTTATTAGGCTTCAGCAGTATGTGCTGTCTTAGATGTGGGCGCTCACATGAATGGTTCGCCTATTATTGCGGCCACTCGTTGTCTCACTTTGATGGTTCAACAGAGGGTATGTTGTTTTCTCCTTACTTCACCATAGTCATGTAATTTAGCTCTTTACTGGATCGAGGGAAGAGTTTTCGCTTGTGCTAACCGGTAGTGAAACCACAAATAACGAACTGGCTGATTTGGATGGGAATTTCGCAAACATTACCCTTTTTCGACCACTCAAGCCCTATGATTGGGATCTGCTTGAGGCTCTTGACACAGGCTTTGCGAGTAGCACCAAGAATGGGGACTGTATGGATATCTCTTGATGTAATGCATGCTCTTTTTAGTGATTGACGCTACATTTGTTGGGGTGAACCATTTAATTACAGCCACAAAGTATGCTATCTTTTCTTAGAGTTGTCAAGTTTTCAGGGCGCGAAAGGGCGAAGTCAAAAAGCGGGTGATTATTCTAAGCAACCTTGAAGGCGAATTGGATTGTGGACAGATAAATGAAGTTATCAGAAACTTGCAAAGGTCGGGAGTAAGTGTGGACTTTGTCGGGTTGCATGCTCTCTCAATTAACAACTTGGAAACTGAAGAGCTTGCTTCTGATGTATCCGTTGGCGAGGTGCATTTGAGTCGAATGCACGAGCGGCTAACTACTTTTGGAAAAATTATTGCTGCAATAGGTGGGGAAAGTTTCACCTTTCAGTAAGCCTGCAACATATATTTATTTATCATGCCGATTTTTACATTCACATCCCAAGTTTTGGCAAGCTTTGCTGCATTCATTTTTTTAGCATTTTAATCTTGTTTTTTTTATTTTTTAATGCACATTATGCATCTCAGCATCAACACATTTGTCCTCTATTTTATTTGTGAGTATCTGTGATTAAAAGTGGGAACAAATCTATCGGAAATCCAAAACTTGGATTATTTTTGGGTTCTGGTAGAAAATGATCTTTTGTAAACTAGTAAGTTCCCGAGGTGTCCATATTGAAGTACAAAACCTTCTATTGGTTTTTAAAAGTTGGCATGAAAACTAATCTATCTCCATTTAGTGAATTGATTAATCACTTGATGTATTTGGTTGCACCATTGCTCCTAGGGCTGCCCGGAAGCAAATTATTGTTGAACCGTTCTAACCTTTTTTCACGAAAGGGATGTACTAGAGAGCGGAGGCAGGTGCCTGGTAGAACATTATGAAACCCCATCAAGGCCGTGGAAGGTAGAGTTAAGCATCGGTGGAACGGCCCTTCGGGTGCCTCTTATCGGTCACTATCTTCTCTATCGTGCTCGACCTCCTTCTCTCCACCCTTTCTTTGCCGGCCATGACCCTCCTCTGGAGGTAACTGCTATCACCACATTTCACCTGCACGATGAGGCTCAAACGGAAGTCTCCGCTTCTGAAGTTATCCCTGGTTAGCATTCGCTTTTTTTTATTTCGATCAGCTCTGGAGTTGACCAAATGAAGCGCACAGAGGATATTGAATTCTAGACTGAGAAGAGGAAGGGGATTTTTGTAGATTTTAAACCTGTATTCGCGCACCTTTCTCCACCACCACTAAGTTGTTGAGGAGTTCAAAGCCTGTCCTACTTCTTTGTCTAAGGCAATAGTTTATGCCCTGTATCATCAAATATTCTAGAGTTGCTAGGCTAAAAGCCTATCTTTATTCAATAACGGAACCTTAGTTTAAAATTATTTTCGGTTCTGCAGTGTAATTGATCAACCATGCTCCATAAAACTGTGACAGAGCACAGAGCTCGGAAACAGGGTCATCAGGTAAATGTCTCCAGTTTTCCAATGTTGGACCATTCCAAATGTGCAGCTTTAAACTGTGTGCAATGTAGTTTTATGCAACTTTGTGTTATTGATAAGGTAAACGTCCACCTTTCGGTGTTAGAGGAAGTAACTCGTGTGTATTATGCGGCAGAACCTATCATCTCTCCATTTCAGTCAAAGAAGTCAGTGAGCTTTCTTGTCTCCCCATACCTTATCTTGATCGGTTGGATAAAACATCAGTAGTAATCTATGTACTGTTTTGCACATTCTTGAAGGAACTTAAGTTCTGCGCTTACACTAATTCTGTTTCTGAGTGGAGGGGTGGAGGTTATTTTAGTTCAGTTAGGTGTTCCTTCGGCGTTTTGACTCTAAATTAGTTTTGTTTGAATTTACTTCTACAGCATACCGCTATGGGGCCACTTTGGTTCCCTTCACAGAAGAAGATAGGGCCAAATTAAAGGTAGAGAATGAGAAATGCCTGGCTGTCATCGGATTCACCAAATCAGGAAGCGTAAGTTGAGTTCTTGATTGTTATCATCCCTTATGCCTCTCAGAGGGGTGAATGCAGCCTTCTTAAACAGGTACGGGTTTTAGGTTTTATGGAGGCATTATAAACGGTTGAAATACGTTTATCTTATTTACCTACATTCATTTGTCATCTGGCGTATGTACTATGACATGCTTTCTCAAAAGACGTACAATCTGTTTAATCAACCTGAAGGATTTGCTTATAAATCTCTAGAAGGCTGGTCCATAACTGCAAGACTTTCTCCGTGCTTACGCAAGCTTGACATTGTCTTTTAAATGAGCTTAAAGCTGAATGTAACGCCCTGAGACTTTCTGTTTGGTAGTATAAGGCAATGAGCTTGACTGGATACTTATGCTTATGCAGATAGGGTAGAAGCGAGGCTACGGACTGATCCGAAGGTCAGCCCACGCGGAAAAGCAAGGTGACCACCAAAGTGATTGCTGTTCACACATATTGTCAATTAAACAAAGTACAGCACGAGATTGCATGGGAAATGGGGAAATAAATGAAAAAGGCAGTTCAACAATGAGTTAAGTTGGCCATGATCATCCCTGCAGCCCTAGTTATCTGCCTCGTATAGGAGCGAGAACCCAGTCCTACTTAAGGAATCCTATGGTACTCCCACGCATATTCCTGTAAACTGCGGTCGCTGTGACAGTGGCGAGCTGATGTTCTTGCGATTTCATTTTAAAGGGCTTCTATGAGAAAGAATTCAATGAAGATGCAATGTTAGGTCTGTACTTACATAATTATTTCCATCATTTTAGATCGCACCCAACGTCTACGTCGGTGACAAGGTTATGTACTTCGTGGCGGATACCCCTCGCACTGAGAAGACCGGTGAATCCCCTTCTCAAACGGTGTGCCTTTCAGAGTTCAATGCAACTTATCTTTCACTAAATGGAGTTAATTTTTAAGTTTACTTTTCACAACTAAGTAGCCGCGGGATTTTGCGGCTGTAGCTGTCTCGGCGTTGGTTCAGGCTCTTATCGAGTTGGACTCCGTTGCGTTGGTGAGGCGCGTCTACTCACGCCTATCAGCACCTGCTCTGGGTGTCCTCATACCTAAGTAAGAAATGTCCACATCAAACGCCAAGTCTGTTTATACGATATTTGTGCTATTGCGGTTGGCTTCTAAGTCAAACCCCACATAGAATGTTCATATTGCATTTAGTTACTTGATACTTAATTTATGCAGATTTCAGATTTCACTTTAAATCCAGCTCGAAAGAGCAACCTTAAATAGCTCAAAATATCCTACTATTTTTATCAAAAGTAGTTGTAACTTTGATCTAATTTGGTAACATACCTGTAGCATGTCTGTAAATTACGCCGGAATCTAAAAGCTCTCAAGGTTCGCACTTGGTGTAATCCAACGCACTTAACTTTTGCGAATCCTTTTTTGGTTTTACAGTGTGCATTTCAGCGTAGCCTCTTTTCGTTCCAGCGCAGTTATGGGATTCCCAATTCCGGTTAATTTGTTAATTTCTATTAGAATCAGTTCCTCAGGAGCTGGTCTAATTTACCATGACTTGGCTTTCCGAGAGGACATCCGAGCTTTTACGTTTCCAAGTCTCCCTGTTGTCGAAAAACCAATAGAGGAGAATAGAGAAGAGGAATCTGATTTGAAGCCACAAGATTTGAAATGGAGACCCAGTGAAGAGCAGATTGCTGCTATGGATGCCTTCATCACGAGCATGATGCTCGACTCAGATGACGACGACGATGAAGACAGTAGAGGGGACGGACGAAAGGATGCAAATGACAAAACTGACAGGTAGAATAATCAACCACATGTAGTATTGCTTTTAGTTTTTCTAAAACTGTTGATAAGCGTTGTTCATGGGGGGTTGTGAGATTTGGTACCAAAATGCATAATTCTTTAACAAATTCTACTTCCTCATAGTCTCAGATATTGCTAGGTGGTTTATGATTCCAAAACTATGCTTGCAAATTATTTTTGCTTCAAAAAAAACGGTTGCACAAGTTCTCATCAGTCTAAGGTTCCTTTCTGAATCCACTACGCGACTTTCACGATCATATACACTTATGGAGTACAAAAAAGCTATCAGTTTGAAATGGTACGTCGTAGAAAATCCTTTATTGGAGTTCGCTTGGTGTCTATTGAGCCCCGCCAGCGAGATAGTATGACGGTTCATAGAGATGATCGCTTGGGCCTGGGAGTCTCCATTGACCCAAAACGCGTTTGCAACCCCTGGATCCATCGCTTCTTCAACCTTCTCCGCGAGCGAGGTTTGGGCAAGACGGGTCTGTCCGAAGTAAACACACTGACCAACGGTTGGCCGTCCCTGGATCCCGATGCTTTTCCCGGTCTTAGAGAAGTTCTTACTGCAGTTGAAAGGCAAATTATGAGCGTCTCGGACCCTGCATCTGCCAGCACCTCCACATCTTCCTCTCCCCTATGTAGCGCCTTGCGCGAGTTAAATCGTGTGATGCCGAAGATTGCGCCTAATCCAGATACAATCGCCATTCTCCAACTAAAGCGTGGCAGCGAGGATACAGATGACCACGCAGCTATTCAAAAGCGGAGACGTGCTGTAGCAGCCGATTTGTTCGGTATAAAACCAGAAGCTGTCGAGTGAGTTGTCCCTCTCCTGCCATAAAATCAGTGCGAACCTAACCAGGTTTCTGTTTGTGCCGCAGGGACGACAAGGATAATGCACTGATGGCTGATGAAGAGCTCACTAAATGTCAAACTATTGGATCGGTTGACCCAGTTGGTGATTTTAACGAGCTCCTCCGTTCTGGTTTAATCACGAAAGGTACTAAATGCATCTTTTTCATCTGAATCAGCATAGATCGGGGTAACCACAGCAATTTGCATGGTATTTGACAACAACTCTTTCTGGTTTTTAACGGATCAATCTTCGGAATCTTTTAGAGAGGATGCATGATAGTCGCTAGCGTTCCCATCGCACACGCGTAATGCGCACTATCGCTTATAGTACTTCAAGTACGTCGGTCCGACGCAATCCTCCTGCAAGCATTTCCTTAAATTGTGGATAGATGCAAAACTTGGGCGTTACTTCTCTTCTGTCTTTTAAAATGGATTAACTCGACTTAGCATTGAGTGCAAATACTTCTTTGTTGCAAGAACCATAATTCTACAAATTTCTCAGAGCTCACTGAAAGAAGGCGGTACATAAAACGCTGTGTGAATCGAGCGAAATAACAGCTTGCTTTAAGTTTGGAATTATGGCTATAAATCCAGTTTCTTGGTCGAGAGTTGGATGTTGCCCTGTACCTTGAAATGTTTTGGAAAGTTCTTTAGATTAACTTTTTTCTACATGCTCTCCTACTGATTTTGGGCCTTTTCTCACCAACGAGTACTGTGTGAGCTTAATAAAGTTAGTTTCCCAAAGCGTGCCGTGAAATGGAGACGCATATCTACCGCCTTGTGGATGATCCGTTGACACCAGGACTCCTTCAACCCAGAAGTATCCAGTGCCTGCATGGATACCGTAAGGCAGCTCTGGCACCAGATGCTTCTGTTGATGTGGCTAATGCATACAATGCCTTTCTACTCCACTGGCGAAGTGACCTCGAATCAACTCACTGTATGAGCAATAGGCTTGCCTTCTGGTCTGAAGTCATTGCTACTGGTATGGCTGGTACTTAATGGGTCTACAGTAGTGTGGTCACCCTTTTGTAACCCTATTTGCTTTCGATTTTGGAAGACGACTTACTTCGACCAGTCACAAGCCAAGATGTTGACGGTGTACAAATGACATCGGAGGAGGCTATCTCCCTCATCAGGGATCCAATCAAACAAGGGAATCTCGAAGCGGAGGCAGAGACTTCAAGTTCCAGCCAACTCGAGCTGCCTATTGATAATTTAGTAAGGTTGGATAATGCCTGCCTGAAAGAATTAGCCACTGGAGACTCCTTGTGTGCTCCAACCCCTCCACAAGTTGCATGTGAAAACGTTTTGTCAGTCAAACATTTCTTACTCAAGTGGTTTTCAAGTGGGGTGTCTGGATAAGAAACGTGTTTGTGCCAGTCACATCGTGCCAAATTCCTTTTCTCTCTCTCTCTCTTGTCATTTTCGCTTTATTTGCGTTTGTATGTGTGCTTTAGCTAACACGCCCACAACCACGTTTCGTATAACTTCTAGTTTAGGTGACAAAACCAATCACTTAGTCGTTTTAGACCAACAAAATCAGCTGGATGAAATCTTTTTTTGCCCTGACTACTAGTGAATAAATAAGACAATCTCTGTTCAAGAAGTTTTGGTTAAGGCTGCTGTCCATCGTCTTTACTCTCGTAAGGTGAATGAGAAACCGAATTTTTGGGGACTTTGCTCTCTGGCCCACTCTTTTCTTCCTTTCTAGCTTTGATTTAAGCAAAGCATCTCTTTGACCGTGTAATAGAATGCATATTCATTTATGAGTCGTGGCGAATCTCTCAAATCCAACGATTTTGCATTGCCTGTGCAAGGGATCATTTGCTTCCCACTCGAATGTGCAAGTCAGTAGGTAATCTCCGGTAGTAGGATGTGCTTGACCGTTTTTAACCCACCATCTTGCTCTAATGAATGAGTACAACAAGTGGGTTGGAGGCGCCTCAAACTTTTAGCAGCACAACGGAATCGCGAAGTTTTGTTAACCAATGCATAAACTACCGCACAATCTGTAACCTTTTCATGTGGCAAAATGATTCCTTCTCATGCAAAAAAATCGCTTCATGCAGTCTCTGCCCGTGTTGCATGATTAACCGCTCTATCGAACAATCGTCTCACTTTTTTGTAATGCGAAGGTGATTGCAACCCCAGCACTGTGTTACATCCACTTCGACGCAGTACCACAGATGACTTAGTACTTCTTTATTTATGTTAATGCGCGGTCCTCTCGTCGAAGTAAATCGTTTCCAACCATTGCAGCGGATCACCGGTCGGGAGGTCTCGATGGGGCCTTCAGACGCAATCCTTTGCCTAACTTACAATTTCGAAAAAGTGTACAGTTGTTAGAGCATTTCGTAGCATACAAACCATCTTCTTTCCCTCTTAATTTCACTCCTCGTTATGTTCTTTTTGTTTGGGAAATCGAGAGAAATTTTTAGTCCCCGTGATCTTAGATTGTTTGTCCAGGTTTGTTCAAGTCAAACAGCTGCCTGTTTCACTCTATTAACTTTAAGCCTTTTCCCCCAAACTGGAACAAAATCTTCTACGTTAAATTGTTATTATTTTGAATGCACACCTCTGCATCGGTCCCCGTGTTTCTCTCAGTCCTTTGTAACCATCGCCCTCACCAGTGGATGCTTGCCTTCTGATTTAGGTCAAAAAGTAAATCATGCTCTTTGTGTTTGTGTGAAAGCTCACTCCTGTGTTACATTTGGTCATACTTTCGCGTAGGCATTGCTACTACAACACACATGCTCGTGCCCCTATAATGCAGTTTTGTGCCCCGCAGAATTTTTTTCGCTAAGGTCGTTGGCTTTGAGTTAGAGTACTTTCATCTGGTGGACGCTGCTTCAAAATACGTCAACGTATTGAATTCGGCGCCCCAATGATCGTTTGAATGCATCCACTTGAGGTGTCGCACCCTCTCGGCTCCTTAATGGCGAAATGTTTATCCACTTTGCTGTTTGCCTTTTACTAGGTATAATTATCTATGGCTTGAGGGTGGTTACAATCTTGCAACTAAGGTGTACCAGTTGTTAGTTGGCAGCACTCCTCAATTTGATGCGTTCTTTTGGAAAAAAGAACCACAAAGAAGTATCACTGTACAGTAAAAAAACTGCGCAGTCGGTTGTTTCATTGCACCAAGTAATTGCTTCGAATGGGGATTACTCCCGTTTGCAGGGAGGAAATTCATGCAGATCTTCTTTACTTTTAGATTGGTGATTTGGAATAGGCTACTTGTTGTCTCCTTTCATCTTCAACCAAATAACTCTGAAGTGCTTGCACTCATTTCTGACTTTTCCTTTTATTTCGCATTAATAAAAACATTTTATTGTTGTATTTCCGCTGTTTTGTTATAATCGCACTGCTATTGTGAGTTTGACTTCATTTTGACCCCTTTAAGTTGAATCTGCAGTGTCAAAATGGATGACCTTTTAGAAGAAAAGGTATCATGGAAATGGCTGACGAAATTGATGCTAAAGCAGTCAAACTGTTTGGCTGCTTTAGGTATTGCTTTTTGAGCCATTAATTTTTTGGGTTTTAATCGCATTTCTTTACAGAGTGAATTACAGGGTTGAACTTTCTAGTTTCTTAATATTTGAAGAAAATATAGTTTCCAGCCAAATGCACGAACTGATTGACAGTGTCATCTTGCCCTCTCACTTTGTTCGTGAATTTTCTTCGGCTATCAGGTCGGGTAACATCAGCTATTCGTTGAAAAAAAATTGAAGTAAGGCTGCGGTGGTCCTCCTTGGGAGGTTTGAAAAGCAGTTGCCAGAGCGGTAGCAGCAGCTTGTGTACACACGCAGTGAGGAAGCAAGAGCGAGAGAGAGCACCGGGAAGAGATTGCATTTCATAGAATCTTGCAGAGAGACGTGGCGCTTCTTTCACTCACACAAATACATCAATCGAGCGTGGAGGCGTCAACTTGATTGGTTGATCCGAAAGTGTGGGCTCATGTAAGGTCAGCAATGCATCGACACTGAGAGCAGTGTGGCACAACGCCTCTTCTCATTCGCACCAAAGCAGAGTCTTCACAATGGGTACGTTGCAATTTTTTTCACTCATCTTCATCCACTATTTGCAACAGCTATGACTCAAATTGGTTTACAACGATACTATTGGTCTTTTCCAAATGAAAATTCATCCATATTCTAGAGCCTAGTTAAGCAATTAGGTTATTTGATGCTTTTCATCCCTCTTTCATACCGGCACGTAGACTCCAAATTAGACTGAAGGTTTAAAGAATGCAGCTTTGCCCCTTCAAAATCTTACCTTATGGCGTACATCAGGAGGAGTTGCATAACTAGAGGCCACTTGAAGAAAAGGCAGTGAATTTCGCCGATTTGATGTGCCAAAAGCGTATTTTCTAGAGCCTCATCATGTTTCTGTGATCCTGACGAACTAAGATTATGATGTCCATAGTAATGCCGCGGGTATGCCTTATTTTTGCAGCCAAAAACACTCGCTCCCCTTCCCAATACTTCGATTGCAATGGGAAAGCTTTCCGACCTACCTTGAAGCCTACTCCCAACTTCGATGTGAACGCCGACGTCGAGGTGCTCTGCAAGTCCATGCGCTGTTGGGGTGCGCATTGAATCGAATTTAGTTCATTTCGATTTGCAGATTGCTTTACTACTTTCCATAGCAAATAACACCAAAAGCCCTTCTTTACCTGTTGAATCAAGTGGTTTCCTTCTCATCTAGGCACCGATGAGGATGCAATCATTAAAATCTTGGGAAGGAGGACAAGTGAAGAGCGTCTCCAGATTGTAGGCCTTTACAAGCAAAAATACGGTCGTGTAAGCCTACTTCAATTTCACAAAATGCCCCTAACTTGTCTTACTGGCTTCCCTCAAGAAGCATTCCAATATTCTTTCTACTCTAAATTTAACCACATCGTGATTAAAATGTCAAACGATTAATGTATCCAGGAGCTTGCACATGACCTGGACGGTGATTTGAACGGTTACTTCAGGGATTGCGCCATCCTTTTAACCGAGGATCCAATCTACCTGATGGCGAAGTCTCTCTACTACGCAATGAAGGGCGTTGGCACCAACGAGAATACCCTCATTGAAATCCTTGTAGGCTGCACGAATGAGGAAATAAATAAGCTTAAACAGTCCTACATCTACGGTAAGTGAGCTGGCCGTGCTCTGCTTCGGTCTTAATTAAACCACATTTATTGTTTAGAAGTTTGGTCAAAATAATCTCTCTCCGATATGAGAGGGATAAGTGTAGTGGTGTGTAAAAATAGCTGGAATACCATAAACTTTTAACAAATCTTGGTTGACCTTCAACTTCCATTCTTTCTCCCTTTGTAGTTTTACGTGACAAAGGAATTAAAGGTGAGTTATTTCAATAGTAGACTGACAGTGCTACACTGGTTCGTCCCAACAAAGCCCCCCTTTCGAGACGAAAGCATATTTGCTGTTTCCGACTATGTTGCCTTGGTAAGGTGTGGCATGACTGTGTGGAGGCAGATTAGTTTATGGCGAGGAGTAAACACCTTGTTTGTGGCATTGTGAGCACACACAACCTGCATAATTAGATTAGCCGCGTTCCTTCCTTTGAAGCTTTCCGGTAACTTGAACACCAGCGCCAGAATGCAGCTCATTCAAGCACCCTCAACACCCTAATAGAAGCCAGCAAATGCAAGAAAATCATTCATTTATCAACTTTAAGTTTCTCAACTTTTAAGTAATGTTAGTCAATCTCAAATACCAATGCTAGTGACTCACCTACCAAAAAAGTTTCTCACAGCTCACCAAATTTACTGATTGGTTGGATGGCAATTGTTTAAGCACGACATTGTGCCCACTAACCGGCCCATTTGGCATCTTTGAATCTCGGCCCTATCCTTTCACATAGGTCGACAGGAACCTTTGCGTTTTCATGTAATGCATCTCTTGTGTGATTGACTAGTCATGTGGCAATGCTTCCTGATGTCTAGATCCAAAACGCACTTTGGAGACTGACATTCGCTCTGAGACAACAGGCTACTTCTGCAAAATGCTACTGCAGATTCTGAAGGGTGACATTCCCGATCCAACAGCAGACCAACTCCGCACCATTCAGCAAAAGGGTGGCGACGTAATGGTCAACCAGGGTGAGGTCACTAAGGCCGTCAAGCAAATTGTGGAGGCTCTGGGAAAGTACATTACCTCGCTTTCTTTTAAATTCACCTTTTGTGAGTTGTTAGAATTGATTTGGCAATGACTGGTACACTTTTCTCCCTTTTAAGACCGAAGAATTCAACGGGTTCCCTCCTTTTGAGCGCGTTCCAGCACAAAAATGTTTGGGAACTGGCAGCTATGGACAAGGAGTACAAAAAGGTTAATCTTTTACCTTCTTTTCTAAAAAATAATCATCAAAATGACTTGTACGGAATGAACCCTTTACTTTTCTATCCTTGACATTGAATGTGATGCAAACTATTGTCAAGAAACTTCCACAGCCAACCGAATTTGGAAAATGTGGTTTAAAAAGTTGGGACATAATTAATACGAGATCCATTGTCGATCCCTATACCGGTAACAATCAGCATTGTTAATTTGTGCGCACAAACGGGACACTTTCAACTGTTTGTAGGTGAGTGGAAAAAGCCTTCTTCCAGCCCTCTCAGAGGCTGTGGAGGGAGAATTCGGCGCGCTGCTCATGGCCATGGGTACGTCTATTTCTAACCAATAGTTTCTTTAAATGGGTAACTTTTAAGTTACCCAAACATCTCTTTTTTATTCCTAGTTCAACACGCTACCGACAGATCGAAGTTCTATTCGGAGGCTCTCTACCAAGCCATGGTGGGTCAAGGCACCCACGACTTTCTGCTCATGAGAGTCATCATTCTGCGCTCTGAGGCAAGTTTTTATATGCAAACATATTTAATTCATTGGGATTGATGGCTTTTACCAGCAGTAGGAATGGTTTCATATTCTCCTTAGGGATGAAGCCACTCCAATCACTAGAGGGTTAGGCAATGGACGCAACAATTGTTTAAATGGTTAGTAAACCAAAGCCGTCATTATGCATTTTACAGCGGTCTTGTACCAACTCCAACGATTAATGGGTGACTTGAGGCATTTGTAAGGCATCCACAAAACCTCAGAAAGTAATCTCTTGGGCGTGTGAGATTTGTTGGTTGGTTTCTTCAGCGAGGTTTTAATGGCGTGTTTTGCAGATCGATTTGCTGGACATTAAGGAGACGTTTGATAAGGACCACAAGAGCTTGGTTGAATGGATCAAGGGTGAAACCTCGGGCTTCTATGAACAACTACTGCTTGCACTGCTGAATGCATCCTGAAAGCCACCCACAACCAACACTATTTCACAACCCAATGTTGAAGCATCTGCAGCTAGTACTTTTCAATTGCTTCCCTTTACTTTGAGTATTTAAAATAAAAATAATAGTAATAATTGAATATCATTTAAGGCACTGGCACATTGACCTCCAATGCAGTGGCCCTTTTTAACTAAAACTCCGAATCACTGAAATGTGGGGGTAGGGGTGGTTTATTTTGTAATGCGCATGGATAGGCCTTGCTAGAATTGACAGATCTGTACACGTATCCTTGGAAGCAATAAATTAGGGAGTTTACGCCGTTAACGGATCGCCTCTAATTGCGTTGATGGCCAACAAATGTGTTTAAACTACAGTGGACGCATTTCCAATAGCAGTTTTTGACAAATGGAGGCTCAGAATAAATTCCAAGGTGCACACTGTTTAGTAAACTAGCACCACAGTAGCCGTGTTAACCTACCCGAAGTACAATTTCAAAAGAAAAAAATCCGCTTTTAAAGACTACGATTTCTTCAACTTTTTGGGGAATGACAAAGCACAAAGTTATACACGAAAGAAAAATTATCGCAGCCAGAAAATGAAGTGAACTAAGCAATTTTATCAGCCATGACAATACGCTACACTCTGTTCAAATGGGGACATGTCAAATCCTATTGTTCCTGTTAGTAACTGACGATAGACCAGTGCTTCAGCGTGTATTCCTGGGCACAAAAGGTGACTATCAGAAATTGCAGCCTCTGGATCCTGTTCATAGGCCAAATGAAAGCTAATATCTGGCTGAAGCTGCTAAGAGAGATCAGTGACGGTAAGATCAGGAATCCTGCTCAGTTGCAAGGAGATGATAACTGTTAGGGGTTAGAGCACCTAGGACTTCAAGTGAAAGAATAGGAGGTCTATGTGCCACTTTGTTTGCACGTCTAAATGAGTGACGGTCACTTTTAGGGTTATTTTGCTTCTTCAAAGGAAACTGGTCTTAAAGGTCCGCCATCGCCAATCATCTTTTCTTTCTGTCCGAATGCATGGAATCAGTTAGGTCTTGTGAATTCCAATACCAGGTGAGAAGCCCTAGAGCTTTCCAACGTCCATTTCGAAACATTGTGGAAATATTTTGGGCGATATAATTGCAAGAATTTGCTAATGCGACCATCTGGTGCCTGACAATGGCCTTAGTAATTGTCTGACCCTTGTACGCGTAGGCTGGCCTTCCAGCTAATTCAAAACCCAATGACCTCTCAAGATCCTAGAATGCATGGGAAGTCTCGGAGCTCTACGGCAATTATTGTCTGGTCGTCAAAGGTAGGCCTTGACAGTACTTAGTACTGACAAAGACCTAAGTAGTTTAACCCACATGACAATCGCCTATGGCACCCAATGTACGTGTGGGCTGGCCTTCGGGCCATGTTCAGGCCCAGGTGCTTTGCCCTCTTTGAAATACAAGTATCTAGCCACACTTACTGCCTTCTTTCACCTTATGGGAAGTCTTGAGATGCTATAAAAGCTGGTGTTCGTAAAATAAGCGCTTAGGAATAGGAAATAAAAAACTCTTTCGCTTGAGTGCACATACATGTAAGTATTAAGTTAGAAATATCATAGGTAGAACTGTTCGCCTTTTCGTTTTCATGCAGAATTAAGTTCGAATAGCAAGGAGTTAATATTCATAGTTGCACTTAAAGATTTGTTTAAGTACCTCGTTATTGAGCAGCATCAGTGAAGTGTTTTAACCAACCCCGTCAATTCTTCCAGCAGGGGGCAGCGATACACGGTCAATTGTTTGGTTTGTGTTTATATTTTGTTGAATGTGTAAGGTGGCCTTGATGCCAAGTACTTTTGCCCTCTTTCATCCTCTGTGTTTTCGCAAAGCAGTGGGATGGAGGTCTGTGCAAACTACCTTGTGATTATATTGCCCATTCCTACTCTAGACACGCGTCAGTTATGTCCCGGGCAGTAGCTACCATTTACACAGTTCTGCTATACTATCTTAGTTCCTGGATGTCTACCGTTGTTATCTTTTAAGGCGCTGGATTGACATTGCGTCCTGCTTAGGTTGTGCACGTACGGCGGCCATGTTTTTTTTGAAAATCATCACCTCATTTTGGGTTCACTGATCTCTTTATCTCCAGAACATTCTTTGTATGATTTACTGTATCCTAAGGATAGATTCTATAGGATGGTCGGCTGTGTTGCAACCTTATTTATTTGATTTTATAGTCGTCGTTTCAGCTGTGCGGCACTAAGGCGCTATTTCGATGCCTATTGCAAAAGGTTAATAGGTACTGGAGGACTTCTCCAAATGAAAATATGTTGTCCTGTCCTAAGCTCGTTTCGATATGGATGACTGCTTCCTAACAAATTGCACCGAAATTTGTTGCATCTTTTAGTTCGGTGACTATGAGTACATTACCAAGTAGTTTGGATTCCTGCATGTTCTGTAAGAAGACTTTCAGTCAAAGTGAGAACCTTTGGAACCATGTGGTCTCAGGAACATGCTTAAATGTTACAAAACCGGAGTCATCACTGCCGTCTGCGCCCGAAGGTGGTTCGCTGGAATCGTCAGTTGAAGCTGACTCCGATCCGGCCCCAGAAAATTCACTGGCAAATGATGGTCCTAAAGGTAGTCTCGATGATAATCCTAAAGTCAGCAAGTATGAGGTCTATTTACCAAGTGAGAGTAAGCCGTTCACCCTTGCCTCCTTCGTCGCCTAATGGTTCATCCAATTCTATTCCATTAGAAGCTACTTCGAAAGAAGTCAGCAGTGTGCTTCAAGGCCAGTCAGAGGAAAGCAGCCCTCCGCGCATTGTAGATGACAATTCTGCAAGTTGGAAACCTAGGACGCCTCGGACAAGCAAAGACGAAACAAATACTGAATCCCCTTTTTCTTTGCTGCTGGGTGCTCCGCCATCCTCTGAACCAACTGTTTCTTACAGCCAGCCAGATTCTAAGTGTTTGTTTAATCCGCTGGTAGCAAATGATTTTCCACATGAACGTGGAGGCACTTCTGCCTCAGAAAATTCAATGGGAAGGGATAGTTTTATGGGTATTCTCAATGGTGGCCCTGCCGTCAGCAAGTATGAGACCTCTCCGCCTAATGGAACCAAACCGCTTACCCCGCCTCGTTCGTCATCTGCCCGTTCAGCTAATTCTGTTCCGTTAGAGGCTGCTTCAAAAAGCGTCGACCACATACTTCAAAGTCAGTCAACGGAAAACAGCTCTGCAAGCTGGGAACGAAGGATGCCTCAGATGAGCAAAGGTACAGCCAATACTGGACCCCCTCTTTCTTCGCCATTGGGTGCTCTACGATCTAGACCAATCATTTCTTCCAATCCACTAGATTCCAAGAGCCTCTTAAGTCCACTGGTGGGAAATGATTCTCCGTGCAAACCGGTCTCACCGCAGGTGAGGTCTATAGCATCTGCTCCCGACAACTTGCCTTCCAAGTGGAAGTGTACCCTGTGTGACATCGAATTTGCTGACAAGTTAGCAATGGCCAATCATGTGAGAAGCTCAGAACATGAGATGAGGATACAAGTTGTAAAACACTCTAGTGGGGATGCGCCATCGCAATCATTACCTCGGCAGCAGAGTACTTCCCTCACTTTTCCAAAAGGAGAATTGACTGAGATGATACGTCGTATAGTTGCAGAAGAGCTACCTGCGCTATTACGCAGCGAACTTAGAACAATTTTCAATGCGGCTTTTAAGGAACCTGCTACGGAAAATGTGTCAACTGAGAGTGTTGAACCAAACAGCCAACCCGGTACAAATTTGGATAGTCGGTGCATTTCGGCGCAAGGGTGTTCTCTGAAGTGCGCAGTTTGTGATTGTTATATTACCTCTCAAGCTAACTTGAGTGCTCATTGTAGTGGAAAAAAACACAGGAGCAATCTGGCGAAGCTGGAAAACTCCGGTTGAGCTCCCTTTCATTCGTAGCTATTCATTGTTTCAAGATATTTTGTACTTCTTGATCTGCGTTCATTTTTTTCAATGAAATCGGCTTCTATTGATTCATCAGTTATGCATGTAACGCCTTTCTGGTACTGGATTTTCCTTTGTCTTGAGCTTCAATGTAATGCTTTCATAAGTGGTATCGGCGATGTCACCATTGGGATAATAAATGCAGGTGTATTGTAGTGAATGGTTCTTTTCCCAACAACCCTAACCTAACGATAAAACGTAAAGATTCCTGTTCATAAGTTTTACGGCGCTTGAGTCTTGTAGGTTTGGCACCTAAAGTCTACGACTACCATTTCCAACAAGACTTAAAGTCGACACCGGCGTGGGTGTAATTGTGTTGTTTCTTTGTGAAGGCTACTTCACATCATCAAGGCGAATGCGTGTAGGCTCTTAAGATTTTGGTGTTTTTCAATGCGTCGATAAACAGGTGTGAGTTTTGCATTCGCAATCGAGAGTGCACACGTCGAATGCATCTAAAGGGATGGCAAGAGGGAAATGCCATCAGAGATGCGGATCTAGCGCATAGTATCGGGATTCCAGGATGATGGCGGATTTTTCTGAAAGTTTTTGGCACTAACAGGTGTTTCAAGGTCGTTAGTACTATTATTTTCGATGTCCTTTTGATTCCCATCGCATTACAGGTTTGCCAAAGTTAGGCCTGCATCTCCCCGACCCTCTTTCTGCAGTTCGACACCAAGTCCAACTTCGACCTTTGTTCAAATGACGCATCTGGGTCCCTGATTGATCAAGCTTCATGTCAGCTAGGCCTTATCTTCTTAAAATAATCTGTCAGAGTTACGAATGCAGTGCAGTGCAGTGCCTATCAATACGCATATTTCTGGACCTGTCAATGACCTATTCCGCAACCAGCGGGAACTATGACAGTACAAATTGCTCTCTTCCACTCCTCCAAAGGCTGACATTGCTCTAAAGCTCTTAAATTGATGGACTGGTACTAATGTGAATTTCAGTAATTGCGTATTAGACAGCTATTTCCAATTATCACCAAACGTCTCCGAACCTCGTGAATTCTACTTTTACATATAACTACTAGAGGACAGTGAGCAGGGCTGACGTCAGCCTTAACCACCCAAAACCAGTCCCTTCTGACGTCGTTCCATAAATGAGATCATGCACCGGATGGTTCCAGCCCATCAATATCAATAACGCAACGCATGACCAGGCCAGCGGCTTCGATCGCGAAATATTTCCCGGAATGAGACGGCTAATCTCGGCACCGCTGTACGTTACGAAAACAATATTATCCCGTACCACTGGTTTATTACGATTTGAGCAGATTTCGAATGTCACCCTACTGCGAACAAGCTCCTGATGTTGACATGATGTCTGCGGTTCGCCCGCTGAAACAAAATTTGGCACAAGAATGAAGTGCTTTTCATCCAGTTGTCGCGAAGTTTGTAAAGTTCAAAACAGCAAACTACAGATTTCCAATCGGCAACAGTACCAACCCAACAGAGCATAGCACGCAGGTTTAAAGGAATCGACACCTCGCAGTTCGAACTTTGCTAAGCTTCAAAGTAACAGAATGGAGGTTAACTCCCAATAATAACCGATAATGATACCGCAATTTTGGACTCGAGCCCCTCCCTTTTGTCTCAAATGGATAACGAATTTATTAAAAGTAAAGAAATATCAGGATACAAACAGAATGCGTTGCGGAGCTCAAAATGACCACAGGAATAAATTTAGCTACCTTCAACAAAATGGACTCACAAGACTCACAGAATAAAAAGGCCGATGATTTCATTATAACAATGAGAAAGCTGATTTGGATAATAGAAATAGCAAATTGCACATTTACAACTCCGGGTTTCGCCTAGAGGCTCGAGACCGCCTTCTGTCTGCTGGCCTTGGAAAACTGCTTTCAATTCCACTAGAATGAGGTGCATTAGACGCAAATTGACTCAGTGGTTGCTTCAACATGTAGTATATGACCGATGGGTGGCAATTCAAATTAATCAGATTGAGGAGAACGCTGACAAACAAAAAAACAAGGTTTTAAAAAGCAGCTTCACGGAAAACAACACCAGGTTACTGAGAATCTTTGCTAACAAAGAAATAATACCACTAAATAAGGTGGGCGTAAAAATTAAACGCGAACGAAGGCACAATATCAGTTTAAATCACTCGTAAGCAATGATGTTTCCTAGTAAATCAACCAAAACACGACTTTGTAAACTCGATTTGTAAACAATGTCAAAAAAATCAGATTTGCAGTGCAGCACACAACGCTGCTCAGTTGAATCTCGTAAAGTAAAAACGCCCCCGAGTTTCACTGACTTCAATCATACCAGTTGCGTAAAAAGCAACAGAGACTACTCACGGAAATATTCTCCTGTCTATGAGAACACCGGCTTTTTGGGCTAAGTCATACAAATCATCCTCGATAATCTTTGGAACAACCATTTCACACCAACTTCAAAACACCGGCACTGAGCACGGATACAAACAAAGCCACCAATATATTGACCTATTAATATACATAAATTTGCTAGCACTTCAACGATTTTAATAACTGTAACAGGTTCTAGCATTTTCACATTGAATTCATTTACTTAAGCAGCGCATACCACCGCGCTACTCAAAATCCGAGGGGCAATTTTTAGTAAGCGAGCATAATGTACACGGGATTACAAATAGATCTGCCATTATTTTAAAAGGCTTCACATCCTATAGTGTCCCGAGATTTAATAGCGAGGTTAAGAAGGCAGTATGTGCAGTTGGATACACGTATTCTAAAGACGACAGCGCAAATTATCATTGGCATGTCTCGAAGGCCAGCCCACACATTCAACGGCCAGACAAATTCTAAAGTGACCAGCCATCGAAACACATTCGGTACTATTCGAAAGTACCCACGAGCCATCTGCGCCAATTGACAGATAGCATGAGACTGGGAAACCGTACCTAATCTCCACAGCAACTTCAACTGGATCTGGGGTTACGTTCGGTCTGACAACCAGATTCGGGGCTGCCTACATCTGTTGACCATCAGTTGCTTCCAGGAATAGACGGCGGAACTCTGGCCTGAAACATGTTACTGGGAAACGAGATGAGTCACTGTCTCGTATGTAAGGAGAACCATGGTGTCATTTCCGACAGCTAAGCACGGATATTGTATGGAAAATTCCGACACGAAACTTTTCCAGATGGTTCATGGCGGCGTCGCTTCACTTGTTAATAGCTTGTCTGTGGAACACGGGAATAAGGTAAAACCAAGGCAGACGTCAGTCTATACCCCTTTCCTTGTGAAGGTATCAGGGATTATCCGTCACCAAGGTAAATGCTCCTGTAGGGTTCCAAGACCTCCTGGCCGTTATAAGTCAGTAAGTGCAGTTGAATACATGTATTCTGAAGGTGACGGGACAAATAGACCTGGACATGGCCCGAATTCCAGCCCACGTGTGCAAGAGCCAGACAAACCCTAAAGTGAACGCCAATCTTCATGTGGTCACATAAGCAAAGTATTACAACTTGCTCGTACCTTTTGGCTATCATCTTCAGCATTATAAGAGCGCCTGATGAAATAGTTATGCATAAAGTAGTGATAGTAGTAGTGTTGTTTCCATCGGCATATATAACTAAAACTTTAGAATCGCTGCAGAAACCGCCAGAATAAAAATCAAATAACCTGCCTTCATTCTATTATGCTTATAGTTGATCCGATGTACGCTTAACCATCGGACTGGCCTTCGAACCACCTCTCTAGTCCTTCTGTCTATAAAAAATTAACCCCCGTCGGGGCACCATGTTTTGGACCGCACACTGGTTTTGGGTCAGTGTTTCTGCCTGATAACCAGCACAGTTCCATTAGCGATGCAGTTTCAGACCTATTAATGCTATCGAGAGGGACAAGTGACGATTTGATCATTAAGCTCCTCCGCTGCGTAGAAATGTAGCGGCTGGCACAAATGGCTAGTGCATGTTTCACTTTCCGAATGCGTTATGCTGGGCGAAGAAGGAAGTTAACCATAACTCGAGGGCAAATAGGTGACGAGTGCGGCGTCAAATCTCCTTGTAGGGTAAGCTAATCTCCAGATTATGCAAGCGTTCTGTTTTCCATGCTTAATCTTCCCTACAAATGTGTTATTTTTTGACTTTTTTATTAAGGTTATTTGTTGCTTATTCAAAAGGATTTAAGTTAATGGATCTTCAAGGTTAGCTCCTCCTCGAAGTTCCAATCGACTTTTCAAAACTGAGAAAAGCAATCCACTGCATATTAATCGAGGCAACTTTTTTGCCTGCACTAGGAGATGGACGTCTTGGCACGGCATCCAGGCACACCTAGAAGGGTCACCTAGTCATGGTGTTCGGAGATTTGATTGGTCTACCGCCATTAGCCAATCAACCAATCGTAAATTGTGTTCAATCATGCATCCTTTCGAACATATTTAATGTCTGGATTTCCGCCTCATTGGCCTTAAGGATGCTATTTTACATTGTCCTCAAACACTATCTCCCCGTGGTTTTATGCATCTCCAGTTGCCTTTGTGTAATTCCATCAATTTACATTTTTTGGAGAAGTGGACTTTGTAGGCCGATTGCCGCCTATTTGGTGACACTGGCAATTGTTGATTTAAACGCAGGATTTCTGCTGATGTTTCTCTCATTAGATCACTTTCTACTCCAATTTTTGTCCTCCGATGATGCACACTCAACTTACAGTTTAGTTGAGGATTTATTTGGTGAAATAATTGACATTCTGCTACTAATATCAAACTGGTTGACAGTGGCTGTCGCTGTGGAGCGTTACCTCGCCATATGCTTTCCTCTGTATGTGCGTTGTTTCTCGCATCGTGCGCAAAAGCGTATTGTCTTGTGCATAATCTTTACAGCAATCATTCTTCAGTTCCCTTCGCTTGCCAAATACTGGTCTGTTTTGGATTCTCTGTCGATTGCTTTATCTTACTTCAACCTCTGGTTCACTCGAGTTTTAGTTCTTTTAATATTTCCTTGCACGATATTAATATGCGTGAATGTACGACTAATCCAGACTATAAGATCATCCTTCATTCTCAAGCATTGCGCTTTTGCCTCAACAGCTCTTGATTGTCCTAGCAACGATGGTAGCACCTCCGAATGCAAGTCCAACATCTCGAGGTCAACACGACCGATGGTGCCCTTCACACTAAATGGGTCACTTACACGAGTAGTAGGCCAGCATGCATCGCGAGAAGAAAGAGCGATCATAATCAATCTAACTTGTCTGATTGCTGCATTCTTTCTCTGTCAGTTCCCTTTCATTTTCCTCTCCGTAGCCTTTAAGCTCTACGAGTCAGACATGGACAATGTTGCCTTTCGCGGCGCCAATGTTACCCTCCTTCAAAAAACATTTTTGTGCAATAAGGATTCTATAAATCAAACACTTCACTTACCTACGACTTCAACAACTAACGCAATAGCCTCTACCGCTACAGTATTCATTGGCACGGAACTGGATATCCTGGCTTACGTTAGAGCTCTCTCTGTCATCTTTCTGATGCTGAAAGGTGACCTCTACTTCCTCCTCTACTGTGGTCTATGTGGCAACTTGTCCCGAGTGTTAAGATCTTTCCTACATTTGTAAAATTCTAAAATTCTATCAAATAACTGTAAATGGACAGATTTTTATTGCATTTTGCACTAGAGGATTGCACAAATTCAGATCCGCGACGTGAATCCACAGAAGGGGATCGCTATTTGCATATGCTATTGTGGTCACACCCATCTGGGCTTGAGAAACGTCTGTGCTATGGCTGGAATTAACGTAAAATAATGATTAGAGGAGACCAAACTCCTTGATAAATCCAAGAACACAGTCGTCTTTGCTTGTAGGCAAAAATTCAGACGTAGTGAGTCTGAAAAAATTCAAGCGTTCCATCTCTCAACCACTCACCTGCCATTTTAAGACCCAACCAGAATTCTTTCCCATCTGTAAAGCCAAGGCACCTTTGAAAGCATTGTTTCTTAAGCAAAACTTGCTGAATGTTGAGATACAGTGTTATACAATAGGTTTACGATTAAGTAGTCATAAGATACTTCTTAACAATGCTCCGAATATTTCGTATTTGGGAATTGGGAGACAATGTATTGTGGTCTGGTTTGCTTACTTCCGTTTTTGCAATGCTTCTTTTTACAATCTTAGCTTTCAGAATGTGGACAGTGCCCGTTGACTAGGGAGAGAAGAAACACATTAGAACTCGCTAATGGTTTTATGCCCTCCAGAAGGCGATATAATACGTGGTGGTTGGGGAGAATGTGCTCATTCAGAGTGGAATAGGAACTTGAGGCTGCTGGTACCGTCCGGAGGCCAGCCACCGGGCGAAGGGGAAGACGGCAAATCAACAACAAAGAATTGTACCCTAAATGCCTTCGGGTGCCCTATTTTTGTGTTTTTATACGAATTACTTAATTTTATTATTAAGTAATGTTATAGCACTGGAGTCGAAAAGTCACCCTCAGATGTTAAACCAGAAGTGTGCCTTTGAGAAGCAATAAAATTGCAGTGGTCAAAGCAAAGCGGTACTGCAGTGCTGCCTACTAATTTTAGGGAGCACGTTAATTTTGTTGTGCTACCCAATGAGACTATGGAGAATGATTTGACTGGTTTTGGTGCTTTGGTTTTTTTTTTTTACATGGAATGGTTTTGTTGATCGACCTGTTTCTCATTGGACGTGACCTTTCCGAAAACGCCTTCCCATGGTACTAATGTTCCGAGAAAGCGTCAAAAAGTTCTCCTGAGTGAGGTCATGTGTAGATAAGTTAACAGATTCAAAAAGTCAATTTCTGTGTTGATTGAGCAACTCTTAGAGGAAGAAGAGGAGAGTCGCTGAGCTTGTTTGCACGACAATAGGAAAAATAGGTGACTGCGACTCGAGTTTGCCTACTGTTGGGCACACCAACAACCCCAACAAATCCCGTCTCTGATGTGACATGCAGAGACTTGAGGATGTGTACGTCAGGAGGGAACGAAATTTCCCTCCATTACGCCATGAAGAAATTACACGACGTTAAGACGCTTCAATGTCGTTATTTCTGTAGTGATCACGAGACAATAACAAATGCATTCGTAAGGTAACTTTGTAACAATTTGACGAATTCTTCCTCATGCTTTAGTCAAAAAAAGAACAAATGGGGTTGTGTAAATTTTATGTTCTATGCCATATATATTTGATAGCATTGTGATAAACCAGTGCACAATTTTCTTCTCCTCCTCCACCGTTAGTCGCAAAGGAGACGACGGCTCAATGGAAGCAAATTTGTTTTTGTTCACAAGGACGAAACGGCCATGATGTCTCCCGACAGATGGCAGCATTGACCGCTTGAAGGGAGAATTGGACGGCCTAACGATCAAAGCGAATTCATTTTTCTTCCTAACCAAGGAAACTTGCTACAACTGGGTTGATTTATTTTCTTCCCTCGGGTTCATATTTGTCTGCGAAAAGTTTATCTGTTGTATAGGCAGTGTTACTGCAGAATCACTTTTGAACATTTTTTTAAAACCCTTCACGCCTAAGATTTGTATCTTCGAGTGTTGAATTTCAATAATTGCTTTCAATCAGGTGTGGCGGTTCTTCCCTTGAGGCTCAGCCGTCTGCATCCGGTGAGGCTCGAGGACGCACCGAAGCCGGATGTTGGAACGACAATTTTGTGACCCAAGTTTGATAAGGTAAGGAAATCTTGTTCGACTCGTGAATGCACAAAAGAGTTGTTAGCATGATTGCTGCATATCCTTTTTTTTTGGGGAGGAGCACAGAAATTCTGACTAATGCTTTAGCTCGCTGATGAACAACTTATGGCAGTGCATTGGGGAAAAGTTTTATTACCCTTCTCAAAAGTTTATATTCACTAGGTTTGCGAATACAGGTGGTGTCTGAAAGGGACTTTGGGACACCTTTTAAGTGAAAGGAAACTTCCCCTACCATTAACATAAAATGTGGCAGTGTCTAATCGTCCTGCTAGAAGTTTGGCTTTGGAAGTGGAGCAGCCAGCTCCACACTGGTTTTAGCCTCCCAAAGGTTATGAGAGAGCAAGGAGAGAGTCCTAAAATTCAGACTGAATAAAATGAAAGGAGTTGGAGCATGTTTTTACAAGAAGCCGTGGCTTTCTCTGTTCTTGTCAATGCCACAATGCAAGGTTCACTAATAGGGTTTTTGCATTCAAATTTTTAATGAACAATTCCTTCAGGTGCATTTGGCTTTTCATACCTCTAAAATCGTGAGAGTGGTATTTGATGCCTACAAAAAGGCAAAATAATTAGAGGCAAAATTAAAGGACTACACATGGCAAGGCGTGAGCTCTCAAAAATGCCTGTCCTGCCTCTGCGTTACAGTTTCAAGTTCTGGATTTGTGATGACTTGCTTTAACGTTAGGGAGGACTCGAGACGCTTCGGCCTAAAGCGAAAAGTAAAGTTGGTGCTAGAGGACAATTTGCCACGATAATTGTTAATGATTGCCAGACCTTAAAGTGCGCATGTCAAAGATGAGAGCTGTAAATGAAGTCGACCTTTGGTTACACTGCCAATCTCGTGGACAGTAGAAAAGATGTTAGCAAATAAAGAGGAGAGGTGAGTGGGTGTGATCGCAAACTGCTCTGAGAATCTTTTTTACGGACCTGTTTAAGGTGGTTGCGCAAAAGGTCAGTTGAGTGGACATGTGATGCCTTCCTCCGCCTGCCTGCCTGCCTGCCAACGGCGAGGATGCGAGGCTGGGTATAACAAACATGAAGAAGACAAGAATGTCGTAACTCCAGCTTCGGTGGGTTTGTCAAGTGAGCTCAATGCCACTGCAATTAGGTTTCTTCTTGATTGAGCCAAAAATTCGATGGCTTGCTCGGTTGGCTGACGTTGCGACGACCGACAGGGGCAGTGGATCAAGAAGGACACTGGAAATGGCGATCAAAAGGGAAAAAAGGATCATGTAATACTTAATCTTTTGTTTTGGCCTTATGATAGGGAAGCTTCCAAGCCCTATAACACTATACCCAGGAATCAACAGGCATGCTAACTTCAAAGAAAGTTAAAAATTATGGAGTAGGAAGTATGTCGTTCCCTGCTCATCATCCAAATCCACATCTCGTTGTAAGAATGATGACCATAAAATAATGTTTAGCTATCAGTTCAATGTTACAAATTGGTGATACGATGTAAACAACAGTCTGCTCAAAGTTAACCGCTACTTCCCATTCAAACTTGCTTTTGCCGGAAGCACTCATAGAACAATAGACTGTTGGCCTACATTTATTCGTTTGTGAACTTAAAAAGATGCCTTTGAATTTAGTGAAAAACTTGAAAGGATTTCAAGCCTCCTCTGTGCTACGATGCGACCCATTAAGGAAAGCACACATTTGAGGAAGAGTTAATGCAAGCCCTCCCCATCATCGCTGCGATTGGATGTGACTGAAGGTAGTCGCCAAATGGCATCATTAATGTTAGGCGAATTGCCTTCAAAACGGTCTTAAAAAGACGCTTTCAAAGTAGCCCTGACTGTTCAGACTTCTTCTTCCTTCGGAAGGCTTCCGTTCCCATCAGACCGCATTCCATGTGGTTGGTGTTTGCTCTGTCCCGGGTTGCAAAGCAAGGTATGGCATTTTTCATTTGGAGGAAGTAAAATTGTTTCCTACTGATAGAACTATTTGCCTTTTATTCATGTGCCAATATTTACTCAGCAAAGGGTGCATGATTCTACA